ATTAAACATTGGCGACAACTAATTCTTATTCTAAGGGACTCGAACAAATTTCTGGTTTAAAAAAAGAAAAGGAAATATTGGAAAAGGAAGAATCATAGTTGTCAAATCGTGTATCGAAAGGTATATCATTTTTTTTTTAAAAATAATGTATCGTAAAATAAGCGCAATTTTAATTTTTAAATAATTATTAATAAAATATATGTATATACCATTGTAAAAAAGTCATACACTCATAATAACACAGCATTTCATTAATATTCCGCCAACTATTCAAATTCCCAGCATAGTTCAGTAATATCAAAATGCAAAGACCTCTAATTCAAACTTTTAACATCAACTGTTTGAACAACCTTAATATTAATTAGGAATTTTAAATTCAATTGAACAACATTAACAACAGATTTTATTTATTTTTTTAAATCATAACCACTGAAAAGATGTTGTTTCACTAGTTAGTGATTTAAAAACAAGTTTTAGGGTAAAACGATGTCATTTTAACTCCAAAAAATCAAAAAATAAAAATAAAAAAAACGTAATCGTCACGTATCGTACATATCGAGCGTATTGTACATATCGTATCGTGTATCACACGATACGGTGCAAAAACGATACAGAAACACGATACGTGTCATTTTTCAAGTGTATCGTGACGTATCGTACAATACTAATAACTATGGGAAGAATTCATTCAACAACATCGGTGGAGTGCGACATCATAAAATTCAGTTTTGCATCTAAAAATTAGCACACTTCCAGGAGGGCCATGAAATATAAATTTTAAAAATTGACAAATAAATCTCTCTTCTTATGCAAAGTAATGATAATCTAATGCAATGACTTTCAAAGCTAAGGAGCCCGCAACATTCACTGTATTCTATGCACAGCAATGAATTGCAGATAAAAATTAAACAAACAAGCACAAAAACTGGAACTGCAAACATTTGATAGCAGAAAAGAGAAAATAAAAAAACCAACCACACAAACTTTTCACTTTGAAATCAAATCAACACAAATGTTTGCATAATATATGAAATTGCCCTTACTCGAAAGATGAAGGGAGTCGTGCTAATCCCCCAAATGGACACCAGTGAACTCCAAATGACTGCAAAACCATTCAGGATTGATGACAAAGATATAGTTGTCAGAAAATATGATCAAACTTTTATTATAGGGCATATCAACATGCAAAGAACAATTGGAATGGTTGGCACCAATATAACTCATCACAGGTATGCATGCAGACATGAAGCCAAATAATGCAGTCAAAAGCACATATAGCTCAAACTATTCATTGTTGTGGATATGGCATTTAGACTATTACTTTTGGTATTTGGTATATAGTTTTCTTGTATGCCACACTTGTGAGCAGTATATATTCATGTAATTGAGGTCGCAAAGGTGTATGAAGATAAAGAGCATAATTCCTCATCTTCTTCTTCATTCCATCTCTGCTTCCTCTTCCTATTTCTGGTTTATGTTCGGATATATAAAACTTCAAATATGGTATATCACAGCAGTAATGGCTTCTACAAACCCAGAAAACCCCAACACTTCTTCTACTACCGGCACCAATGTCACTACAATTAACACCAATACAAAGGATCCTGCTAGTCCTTATTTCCTTAATCATCTTCTCACTGCTGAAAACTATCATTCTTGGGCTCAAACAATTCGAAGATCTCTTCGAATCAAAAAGAAACAGCTTCATCAATGGAACCCTCTGTGAGCCAACAGATTCATTGGACTTCATCAATGGAACCCTCTATGAGCCAACAGATCCCAATGACCCTTTAATGGATTCATGGCTAGAATGCAATGATAAGGTCGTTACTTGGCTTCAGAATGCAATGTCCTTGGAGATCAAGAACAGTATAGTTTATATGGAAGCACATGAACTTTGGATTGAGCTTGAGCAAAGGTTTGCTCAGAACAATGGCCCACGAATTTATGAACTCAAGTAGTCAATTCATGCCCTCTCTCAAGGAGAAGATACTGTAAGTTTGTAATTCTCTAAACTAAAAGGATTGTTTGATGAACTCTTAAATTTTGAATCCATACTATCTTGTACATGTGGAGCCATGAAAACAGTCATTGAGAATCAACAAGAAGGCTGGATTATGAAATTTCTTATGGGCCTGAATGATTCGTTCACAAACATCAAGGCCCAAATCATCTTACTCAAGCCAGTACCTAGTTTGAGTGAGGTATATGCTCTAGTTCAACTGGAGGAGAAACGAAAACAGGTTTCCACAGGACTCAATATGAATGATTCCATCTCATTAGCAGTTAGAACTAATCTCAATATGAATGAAAAATTTCTAGTCACTCTTTGGATAGGTGCTTCAAGGTAAATCCAGAAATTGAGAGACCTTTTTGTTCTCATTGGAATATTGCTGGACACACCATAGAGAAATGTTTTAAGTTTCATGGTTATCCACCAGGCCACAAGCTACATAACAAGACCAAGACATTTGGCTCTTCAGCAAATCAAGTCAGCTCAGCAAGCCCAGAACAGAGCAATGAAGGATCCTCTGCTAGTATCACTAAAGAACAATACCAGCATCTTATGGCCTTACTTCAGCCTAAGTCTTCATATCCCTCTGCTAATCAAGTTCAATCAACCTCAAGGTCCACTGATATCAATCCCCAAACCACCACCATGACTGTTATTTCTTCTTGTTTTTCAGTTTCAGAAATCAGCCATCTAGATGTCTCCAAAATCCCTTGGATCATAGACACAGGTGCAACAGATCATATGATCTGCAGTACCTCTATCCACAACTCAATCCCATCCAAAGCTTCCTACAAGGTAAAACTCCCAATTGGTAGTTTTTCAGAAGTGAAACATTAAGGAACCATTAAGATTAGTGAAACCATCACCCTCAGAGATGTGTTCTGAATCCCATCTTTCAATTTCAATCTCAAGAGGTTATCAGAAGATCTTAATTGTTACTTCATTTTCTTCACTGAATGTTTTTTTCGGGACCTTTCCACTTGAAGCACGATTGGGAAGGGTGAGGTTAACAATGGCATGTATCAACTCAGGATGACAGCAGTTCCGTCCACAGCTCTTGCTGCAGTTTTGCCTCTTTCAAAACAATCTACTGTTTTAGCTTCTGATTCTCAAAATGAATTATGGCATTATAGATTAGGCCATCTTTTAGATTCCAGACTTTCTTTGTTGCAGAAGTTTTACCAAATCTCAAGTTTATAAATAAAAGTGTTCCTTGTTCAATTTTTCCTTTGGCAAAGCTTCATAGACTTCCATTACTGAAAGTGAGCACAAAACCCATAATCCATTTGATTTAATTCATTGTGACATATGGGGACCTTCCACCCATATAGCCTATGATGGTTCTAGGTATTTTCTCACCATTGTAGATGACTTCACAAGGTGTACTTGGCTTTATTTGATGAAAGCAAAATCAGAAACTAGACCATTTCTCAAGTCCTTTTGCTCACTTATAGAAACTCAATTCAAAGCCAAAGTCAAAACCATTCATATAGACAAAGGAAATGAATTTGTCATGATAGAATTCTACATGAAGACGGGAATTATTCATCAAACAAGCCGTGTAGACACCCCTCAGCAGAATGATATAATTTAAAGGAAACACCAACACATCCTAAATAAAGCTAGATCTCTCATGTTTCAATCATCAATCCCTACTATTTTTGGAATGATTGTGTGCTAACTGCCACATATCTGACAAAAAGAACACCATTTCTCACCTTGCAAAAACGGTCACCATACCAGCTCCTTTTTAAGGTCAAGTCAGATTATTCTCACCTTAGAGTTTTTGGGTCTCTATGTTATGCTTCCACATTGAAACAAGACAGACACAAATTTGATCCTAGAGCAAGAAAATGTGCCTTGTTAGGGTACCAATTTGGGGTCAAAGGCTATAAGCTAATAGATCTACAAACTCCTCCTATCTTCCACTCAAGGGATGTTATTTTTCATGAGAACATTTTTCTTGACAAAGTGAACAATGCAGATTGATGGGACACTCCTGAAGGGCATTAGATCAACGACACGTGTCCTCAGCGCTGATGTATATCCTTGCCTCTGGCAAGACCACGTGTCCTCGACACCGAGACCCCTGCTCTGACATATTCCTCGACGCCAAGGCATGTGCCCTCGGCTCCGAGGGTACCTCCCTTCCGGAGGTGTCAAGTGTCCTCGGCCCCGAGAGAACTCACAGACCCTGATCTTGCCACATCTTCGGCTGCTAGAGAGGAGCTACCGATTGACAGTTGAGTAGCCTAAACTAGAGTAGGAATCATGAGGACACTTTATACAATGAAGTCAGAATAGCAGGGCAGACTGGACACTCAACCAAGGGGAGTCAGATGTGTAGCATAAAGTACAGAGTAGGAGGTAAAAAGACAGAACTATCCTTGCTGATTTACGGCTGTCCCAGGCAAGCATTTAATGAATCCTCAGTGATGGGACATCCACGGTGGTCTGAAAAATCAAAGATGTGGGGTATTAAATACCCTGGGCTCCTAGCATTTAAAGTTTTCACATCAAATAAAGAGTATTAACTACTCGGGAGCCCGAGCAGTTAATACTGGAACATCCCCCATGCAGAGTGGAGGCACGTTCTCTCGTGCCTGATTATTATCTACTATTTAGGTAATCAGTAATGATGAGCCTTAAAGGGTATAAATAGTCCCCAAAAACATATTACAAAAGTACGCAAAATCACCTCTCAAGAGTCGTACAGTATTTTCTTCTTCCCCTTTCTCAAAGAACTGACTTGATCATCGGAGAGGATACGCTGAAAAATACTCTGGCGCTCTTCTAACTTGTTTTCTCTGTCAGGAATGTCCTGCAACCCATCGGAATCGACCGGATAGCCCCTGAAACAATTCATCACCACTCCTTAGGCCCCTCTTTGGCCTTCTCAACTCGTTCCTTGCTACGGAATCCACCACATCAACAAACGAGTCCACCACAGGTAAGATTTGTTCACATTTCATCTATTGTGCGAAAATCATCTCACACATAGATTCTGCATCACAAGAAGATCATCAGATTTCTTCATTTCCATCAGCCAAATCTTCTCAATATTTTCCCATTTTTTCTCCTACAAAAAATACACATGCTACAAATCCAACTTGTTCAGATTCTTCAGAGAATTCTCCATTCACCAACGCACAACCCACTCCAGAAAACTCTTCCCCACTTCATTCACATACTAAGAGCCTCAATGATACTTCTGCAGACATTCATGCAGAAAATCAAAGTGTTCCTCCTCACAGATCCAACAGAATGAGAAAGCAACCTGTGAACCTCAAAGATTACTACTGTTAGCAAGTCTCAATACCTCATTCTTCCCAAGCAGCTACCACAGCTTCTAAACAACATCCTTATCCTTTATCTTCTTTTGTAACATATAACAAGCTTTCAGATGACCATGAAGCTTTTGCTACATCCATTTTGAGCCGCTGTGAGCCAAATACATATCATAAAGCTATCAAGTCTCTCAAGTGGCATAAGGCTATGGATGCTAAAGTTGCCAATACCTAGGAAATTACTGACTTACCAGATGGAAAGGAGGACATTGGTTCAAAATGGGTATATAAAGTCAAATACAACTCAGATGGAATTATGGAGAGGAATAAAACTAGATTAGTAGCAAAGGGCTATACCAAACAAGAAGGTTTAGATTACCATGAGACATTTTCCCCTATAGTAAAGCTTGGGACAGTAAGATTTATACTTGATTTGGCAGCAATTAAGGGATGGTTGTTACAACAATTTGATGTGAACAATGTTTTTTTGCATGGAGAGTTAGAGGAAGAGGTTTACATGCATGTGCTACCTAGATACCATGTTAAAAACCAAGACAAAGTTTGCAAATTGAAGAAGAGTTTATATGGCCTCAAACAAGCTTTCAAACAATGGTATTCAAAATTTTCTTCATCATTGATTAACTATGGGTTTGTTCGATCTCATGTAGATTATAGCCTCTTTATCAAGAGTACAGAGACCTTTTCCATGGCCTTATTAGTATATGTTGATGACATTATTGTGGCCTCAGCTAATATGCATATTGTTTCAAAACTCAAGGAGATCTTAAATAGTCATTTTACGATCAAAGACTTAGGATCCCTTAAATATTTTTTTGGATCGGAAGTGGCCAGAAGTTCACATGGGATTCAAATCTGTCAACGAAAATATGCACTGGACATTCTAACTGATTCTGGACTAATTGGATATAAGGCTGCCAAGGTACCATGGATCAGAATTTTAAGCTTTCAAAGGATGATGGGGATCTTTTTGATGACCCAGCTCAATACAGAAGAATTATTGGGAGACTCCTATATCTAACCATTACCAGACCAAACATATCCTATTCAGTTAATCTGTTAAGTCAATTCATGTCCACACCTCGTGTTACTCATCTCAATGCAGCGTACAAAGTACTCAAATATGTTAAGAGATCTCCAGCTCAAGGTCTCTTCTTTCCCTCATCTTCACCCTTACAACTCACAGCCTATTGTGACAAAGACTGGGCATCATGTCCTGATGCCTGAAGGTCCACAACTGGATACTACATTTTTCTTGGAAAATCTCTTGTTTCATGGAAGTCTAAGAAGCAGAACACGGTGTCCAGAAACGGAAGTTGAGTATCATTCGATGGCTGCAGCTTGTTGTGAGCTCTCTTGGATCAAGTATTTACTTGCTGATTTCTCTATCCCACATGAACAGCCTGCAGTTTTGTATTGCGATAATCAATCAGCACTCCACATTGCAGTCAGTCCTATTTTCCATGAGAGAACAAAGCACATAGAATTAGACTGTCATCTAATTCGAGAGAAAATTCAGGAATGAATAATCTCCACTGCATAGATACCTTCATATTCTCAGCTAGCAGATATCTTAACTAAAGCATTATCATCATCTTTATTCCATTCTCTTCTTCTCAAGATGGAAATATATGATATATACTCTCCATCTTGTGGGGAAGTGTCAAAGATTGAAGTTCCAGCAAGGCAGTTGCAGGTCCAACATGGCAGCCAAGTCAGCCATCCAAATCAGCAGAAGTTTCTACATTGAGAGACCATGTACATGAGAATAGAAGGAATCTAATATCACATGGGCAGCTGAGAATTAATTAGGAAGGATTTTTTTGTGTATATAGCATTTAGACTATTAGCTTTTGGTAATTGGTATGTAGTTTTCTTGTATGCCACACTTGTGAGCAGCAGTGTTATTTAAGGCGTAAAGCGAACCGAAGCGACCAAGGCTCCTAACGCCTAGGCGAGAAGCGAGAAGCGAAGCGACACGCTTTACCGAAGCAAAGCGAACAGTTAAAAAAATATATATTTTAGTTTAATTACTTCTAAACAATCTAAGTTCTAATTTTATATATACTAAATATTTAAATGCAAGTAAAACCATAAACATTTAAATTAAAAAAAATACTAATAATATCTCAAATCTTAATAACAGTCATAACTTAAACATTTAAATTCAAACAAATACTAACAATTGTATACATTTTCATATTGACAGGGTAGGACAACAAAAGAAGCAGAATCAGGACAACAGCAGAATTAGCAACAAAAAAAAAAAAAGTAGAATGAGGATTAAAAAAAAATAAAAGCAACACAGGACAGCAAAACCGAAACAGCAACTGAATCAACAAAAAAAATAGAAGCAGAATGAGTTAAAAAAAAAAAACAGAAGCACAATGATCATGACAGGAGCAGAATCAATTGTAAACAATTTCATATGTAATTATATATTGAATAAAAAAAAGCAGAACAGAGGCACATTTCACATGTACTAAAATAATTAAACATGGTATAAGCATAGACCACTTTTTGGTACCATTTGTATATATATAAGAAAAGGAAAAAGTATAACCAAGACATATCAGAGACACTTCTTTGTAGAAGAATCTATTATTTACCCCCATTTCTGATACTCCTGCTTCTTTTTTTTATCATAATTGTCATGCAGTGCAGTCGCCTGACTCCCACATTCCACAAATATTCTAAATGAATTCAGCAACACAAGGAAAAAAAAGGAATGTATTTTGTTCAAAACATTGTTTATTAAAAAAAAAAAAATAGACTAGCAATAGTCTAAAAAAAAAGTCATTAGTGATTAAAAAATAAAAGAGACTACTAACCTGTAATCAGAAAAAAAAAAAAAAAAAAAAGTTGAAGCAGAATCGCTTTTTATAATAAAGCGTTCGCTTTTTCGCTTTTTTCGCTTCTTCGCTTTTTCGCTTTTTCTCGCTTTTTTCTCGCTTCACTCACGTTCGCTTCGCCTGGGGTCCTCCAGGCGAGATAAGCTCGCCTCGCCTCGCTTCTCGCCTAGGCGAGCGCCTAGGCGAGCTTTTCAAAACACTGGTGAGCAGTATATATTCATGTAATTGATGTTGCAAAGGTGTATGAAGATAAAGAGCATAATTCCTCATCTTCTTCTTCTTTCTATCTCTGCTTCCTCTTCCTATTCCTAGTTTATGTTCTGATATATAATACTTCAATATATGATCCAATTAACCATCCAAATCCTCGCTTCTATCTTCAAAAATTCAAGAATCCTCTCCTTCCAAATAACCAAATAACCAAAAAAATAGCCATAATAGCATAATTCCACAAAGTCACTCCTTTATCACTCCGCCCAAAGCATTTTAAATCTTCAACAAAAAATGATGTGAATGATGCGGGAAGCACCCAATTCAAGCCCAACAAGGTAAACAATATTACCACAAAAGCAAAGCAATAGGGCAATGTAAAAAGGTCAATGTTCTCTAATCTCCTTTACACCTCACACACCACTGAGGTGAAAAACAAATTTAACATCTCCGTTTCTGAAGAGTATCATTGGTATTAATCTTACCACGTGCTGCTGTCCATGCAAATCTTGGTTACCCCTAATGCACTTCAGCCCACTGTGGTATAGACACATTGCACTTTGCCCCTCATTCAAATACAGCAACAAGGCCCTCATCTAGGGGTGTAAGAATAATAAATCTCACCCCAAGTGTCAACAGATCCTCCCACTTTCTCTATTGTATATATTTGCTCCCTCTTTAGATTTTGCAGGGTGCAACGACGCAAAACTCCATACAAACAGTCTAAATCCAAGATTCTTTATCCTATCTGATTTGTATCCATTATTTCATGTAACCCTTTATGTACACGATCTTTTACATAAATCAGTTTGTGGGTACAAAAACCAAAATGTGTTAGGCTAGTAAACCATAACAACATTGCTGGTACAACACCTTTTCCACACATTTATGCAAAGTGGCAGGCAATATATATCACAGTGTCAAATAATGAAATACAGAAAAGGAGATATAATGGCATATATAGCAGGAAGTCTATTAAGCTCATAATCATATTGTTGGTAAAACAATATGTGGTAGAGTTCCTGAGCACTGGGGAGTTGCCCTCTTGTAAACATCCACAAATACCAAGTTGCAGTCATGTGTTGTCTGTGTGTCAATGTATGTACACATCAAAATAGATACATGAAAGTTAGGACCACAACTTCCAACAACCTAAACACTAAGCCTTGGAACGAATCATCAACCTCAAGCCCATCATACTCCACCCTGTGTCCTAGGCTATCCGAGGCATCACATCATCTTCCCACTTTTTTCGCTTTTGTTAAGCAACGCATGCCAGCTGCCATATCCAGGTCTAGACTAGTGAACAATAGAATTTACAACTCCAGGAATCAGTTGTCAAGGCTTCACAGTTTCCTAGAGATAAATTTAAGGAAAGTTGTCAAGGCTTCACAGTTTCCTAGAGATAAATTTAAGGAAAGTATGAAAGGACAATTATGTGTGAATCTCTCAGTAGAAACATAGAACTCAGTTGAAATACCACAACACTAAGTTTAGAGGGGTCAGCCCCCAGAACAAATTAGTAGTTGTATAACATTGAGAGCCAAATGACATATTTTTAACTGGCAAAGCTGGATGATAAGATGTGCAAATAGAAGCAAATTTAGACAGTGGAAGGAATGGTCCAAGACATAACCGACTTCAAAACAAACGAGACTATTGCATAAAAGCATAGTTGTTAGGGATTGGAATGTATGGTAAGAAGTAAAATCGGATGCCTCGAGAAATCAAAAGTATATCAATATCAATAACAAGTCTTGTTTAAAAGGAATGAGGCGGATTACCCGTACGATACAATGCATAGAGTTAAAAGTGCAGCAATAAGATAAAGTTACCCAAGCTTCTTAATGAACAAATCATGTATAAGACGTACACATAATATCGCTGACCTAAAAACATTCGTAAACATACTACTACTAAAAAATTTAAAAGATATATGTTATTTGCACATGTCAAATCAAACATGATAAGAAAGATGAAGCCACCTAAAGTTGGAAAATAAAGTGAAAGTATTTAGAAAGATGACTATTAAACTACTCTAACTAGGATACCATACAAGGAACCTATGGACTTTTAAAGTCAGTACAAAACATTAGATTTACCATTTCGGAGTAGCTCAGATCATAAAGATCCTCATCATGGGCCCAATCATCCATGTTAAACTCAGGAAATGGATGACAACCATTAGCATAAAGCCATTGACCTTTCTCAATTTTGCGACAATTGGGGCACTGCATCGCTCCTTTTGTATTAAAGGCAGAACCAATGCAATCTGCAGGTAGTCATGAAAGATATCATGAACACATAAAAAACATATAGCAATTACAACATCCCATCAACAAAAATACATTGGCTCAGAAAAGGAAATGAAATATTTAGTGTACAGAGAAAATGAATCCCTTCATCAACATTTTGACATCTATAAATATATAAAAACTTGCCAGGTTCAAAGGAATGTTAACTTGGTGCACCATAATAGCATAGCACGATATTTATCAGAAAACTACAGAAAGCAGATTTCCAGCATGCATCTAATGAGTAACAACGCAGAGAAGGACCACTGTTTAAACTGAATGAAGCTGAAAACCGAATGATGCAAGTGTTTCCTTCATCAAGGGATTTGTGACAAAAAGTAAGCAACCCCTGAATGGGTCTGACTTTTAAATCAGGAAGAATAACTTTGGTGAATGCTGAACGAAGGTCGTTTGAATATTTAATCTGAAGTAACAAATTTACTCTTAAATTTCCAATGAGGAAAAAATGCAGTTGCTTGAAGTATTCAACAATACTAACTAAGCACTATTTTTCAGTGCTACATTTTCACTCTTAAGAATAGCATTACCATTGATCAAGGGGATTGAAGCATTCTAATGCTTCTTGTGACAAATATTCCTCTCAATCAGAATTCAGAAATGTATCAGTTCAAGCACATCGAGCATCTTTCACTCATATATACCTTGAAAGAGAAGAAAAAATCACAAGAAGACATGCCCTTTTCTATGCCATGGATAACTTTCTTGAGGACCAAAATCTAGAATTTAAAACACTTTGCTGATTGCATTAAACTCAGAAACATTCTTAGCACATTCAATGGTGATGGACTGGTGATTACCCATTCTCTCTTTTTGCTATAGTTTGTTTTTCAAAATAATTGCAACAGGCACTCTATTTCATTTTTAGACAAGGAGTTTCACTTAGTATAAGCAATAAATGTGGAACTACCATAGAAAATTTACACAAATTATTAGTGGAAAAATATTTTGCAAACATTCAAACAGGGTCGCAAAACCACAACAATCAAACAGATATTCCATGAACACATGTTGTTCTCTTCTAATAAGATTAGAAATAAAGAGTTGGAAGTTTCAGTACCTACAAGTAAAAGTCACCAACATTCCCCTAATCGTCAGAGCTAAAGCTAGTCAACCACCTCCAACTTAGATATATCACAACATGCATATAAATGAAATCACCGGGGAAGGAGGAAGGGGAGGGGGGAGAGTGTTGGGCATGCACCTAAGTTTTGTAACCCCCCATTCGATCTATATTTTGGCTTTGTAAGGATAAACGTGATATCCTTGTGCGGAATGGATCGTCCCTCATGATTACATGTGGGATTAAGCACTACCTAGATGGGAGTGAATAGATTAATTTCAATCGATTGAAAAACCACCAAATTATAACCTATACTACCACAATTACTTATTTCTCAAAATAATTTGTCAATTAACAATTTGAGAACCCCTTTTACACAAGAACAACCAAATTAACCATGATAATTAGAGCAATGAATATGTCAATTTTATCGATTACCACTCAATCACTCACAACGATCCCAACCCAAGGCAATAACACACTACCAAACCACTATGGATGATATGAACATTCACATAATCATAACATCAAACACAGTGTCCGTGTGTGTTACGAATCACAAGTGTATCAAATAAAGCAATAAAGAACACAAGAAATTTATTAACACAAAAACCCTCCTTAGGAAAAACCGCTAAGAATCAATCGAGGTTTACTAACGTCTAATCTATCATTCCACAATGAATCTACAAGTATTCGAGTCTTATGTCTCAATCAATACCATAGTTAGACACTTCTTTCTTTAAATAGATCTCTCCACCACACCTACCGATATTGTGGATAGCTTCACTTGAACTCCCATCACACGAGGTGGGTCCTAGGCCTCAAGCACAACTAGGATGCAACCAAGAACCTCGATATGCACACTCTTCAAGTAGGTTTGGTAGAACCAACCAAGTTCTTTTTCTCTAATGTGTGATGTTGTATAGGAATCACAAGATGGGTTTTGGCCTTTTGGATTTAGGGATCTAAAATTGTTCTATGATCTCAAGGTCTAAAGGCAAGAAAATCAACTCACAAGAAAGATATCCTAACTTAGGAAAGCTCCCTCTATTTATAGGCTCGAAATAGGATTTGTATTAAAGACCAAATAAACACAAATTCGCAAACGACCATTCAAGTAGTGGGAGCAGTGGGAGGGCGGTGGCTACTAGAATGAAAAAAAAAATTCAAACCAAAGGAGGAGAGTAAGGACCACTCAAGTAACTTCATAACCGCTCGACCGGCCGTGAACAAAAAAAAAAATCAAACCAAGGCGGCTGAGCATGGACCTGAGACCGCTTGAGCGGCCTAAGAGCGAGCCAAAGGGCGATCTCGACTGTTCACTCATTTACCCTTTCTCAATTTTATCCCTAAGTGATCAAACACCACTCTAGTGAAGACTAGCGAAAATATGATGGTCCTATTGGTTTTTAAGTTAAAAACCACACAAAAACTTATTCCCTTGAATACTAAAGGAAGTGAGATCCAATTAATGACTCAAGATTGTGTTTTCAAAACACATTTGACGTTTAGAGAAACTTTTCTTTGAAATACACTTAGGAGTCGTTAGCGAATCAATCACCAATTTCATTTTACCTAATCAACCTAAGTCTAATAAATTAAACCAAAATTGCTAAGGTCTCTAAGTCATTTATTTTTATCCTATGCAAGAAAATGCATACGGAGAATCTCTTAATATAGCTTGAAGCACAATCTCCTCCCTTCTACGTTGTAGCATCATGACCATGGAATACGTTGAGATTAACAAAAAGGCCTCACGAATTAGCCAATTACAAATATAATCCTATAAGGCTTAATCCAACCCTCCAATGTTGCTTAGCTTTCTCTTCCTTCTACTACCTCAATGCCTCCTCCCTACCTATGCCATCCCCTCCCAACCTTTTAGTAACACAGTTGCCCTTACTCCTTTTTTCTATCAATCCTACTTAGGTCATATTTTGCCTCTATCAAACCCCCTCCTCTCCTTTCCTCCACCTATCCCCTCCCCATTTTATCAACTACACCTTTCATTTTGGCGAATGGGACTAGTGTTTAGGCCTAGCACAAGTAGTTCATCTGCAACTTCTCAAGACACAATTAGGATGTTCAATTAACCTTGATTAAATGCATTCTACTTAGCAATACATCTTTACCCCTCTTAGGAAACATTTTTAGATGTAGCCACTCAAAATGATATGTTGAATTGCCAATGGCAACCATCTTGGGTGGTCCCCAAACAATGAGATTTTGCAACAAATGTTGGGTTGACCCCAAAGAGTGAGCACTCACTCATTCTTTACAAGGAGAACCACAACCCATAGTTTTTTCAACTCCAAACACCCTTGCACTGCATTTTCCTATGGAAGATCAAGGTCCTATAGTTTCGCAAGCTTCAATTTTCCTTGGACTCCATTTCCCTACAAATGTTCATCTTTAGATGTAGCATTGAATTTGTAGCATGTCTTGATTGAATCAAGGGACCAAAGACTTAAGAGCAATTTCCTCTTCATTTCAACAGTAAGTAGCAGACAACAGATTTTGAGATAGTGTATTCAAGGACCCTTCTTTTAAATCAAAAGCACAAGAGGGAGAGAGAGAGAGAGAGAATTAAAGAACTGCAGCCTGAGTATCCGTGAAATAGAGGCCACACCAAGTATTCCCCTTTACAGTTCGTGAATAATAACGCATGATACATTCATGTGTCCAAACCCTTGAACATAGATGAGAACCATATCAACCTCGAAAGTGAAACTACGAAGCCTCAAGTATTAATCACTAACAACGCTAGGAAATAAAAGAAAACAATATGGAAAGTATGTCTTCCTACAAGGAGGGTGTAATTCAAAAGTCAATAGTTGAGCCGGCCCAAAGAAATGGCTGGTTAAGATTCCCCATTATTTTCTAGCCACCACATAGCTCAGACTTTTCAGCACAACAAATCCATTACAAAAGTGAGTTAGGGCTTTGGATCAAACAACAAAAGACAATCCATGGTTCTTCTATTTTCCCCCTCTCGAAGGCATCAACGACTCTTCCATTGGTTGGGACCTGGATAGCTTCCCATGCATCTTGGAGTGTCAAAATGTCAACTTATGAATGCTTATACCGGATGCTTCTCACTCTCCTGCTGAGCTCTAGTGATTTCACTAAGACTTTTTAACTATGGTTTCATGACATTAGGGGCACAACCAGAAAATTCTTAGGATGGGCACTTTAATAAGTTTTAATTTTTTTCTATCACTAACAAAAAATAATAAAAATCCAATTATAACTTTTTATTAAAAATAAGTTTAATGCAATCATTTGAAATATATACACCTGATTTGTTTTTGTACTTTACCAACATTGCATAAGAACTCATTAGTAATACCATCAAAAAATATCTTCCTCTATTTACATAATCATGCTACCAATCATCCCTTTATCTCCAACCCGTATAATCAATTGAATCTTCTCCTCTTTCTCAATCTCTCTTAGGTGGTGGCCCGCTTTAGTCGAATTAGAATAATCTCATCAAATAAATATTTCTATATTTGAATTTTTCTAACTCGTAATCTTCATTTTCGTGTACTTATAATAATATTAGTCATTTTGTATTTTTTCAAAAAATTATGGAGTTAGTTCAGAACTTACCAAGAAATCTATGTAATGTATTTGAAGAGTCGCCAAAGGTTATTAATCATTTGATTATGATTCTATTTTAATTGGTATTGTATTGTAAAACATAGAAGGGTGGGCATACCTAAATATAATCAATAAATATTTTTAAATTTACATAGGCAATATTAATAAAAGAACACTTGAGGGTGGGCATGTGCTCACTCTAGTCCTCACTTAGGCTTCTACCCTTACATGACATAGACAACAAGGTGCTTCTAGAAAAAAAATGTCAACTTTCTTCGATGTATGGTTACACATGTGCGAAGTCATTTCCGATAGAAGGGAAAAATTGTTGTAGGAGTGAGAGATACATTAGAAGCAAGGTTGCCATAATGTTTATTGAAAGTTTTTTTCAAAAATAGTTTATCACGTATCGTTAAGTATTATATATCATAAGATACATCTAATTTTTTGACAATATATTCAAGAATACATATACCTATGAAAAAAATAATAATAAAAACATTTCATTTCACCCCAAATTTTGAACATGACATAATTTACAGAGACTACAAGGTCCAAAACAAAAAAAATAAAAATCCAACTATTCAAGTATTCAACATAAAAATTAGGGCTTTTCACACTTTGTTCGCTGAAAAATTTCAATTCTCCACTTTGCACTCTCAAAGATTAAATTTTTCACATTTTACCCTAAATATATCAAAAGTGTTACAATATAACCCTTTTATTAGTTTCTATTATTTTTTCGGTCAAAAGTCAACCCTTTAAATTTTTATGTTGAATATTTGCATAAATATCAAATTTTAGAGACTTCTAATTCTAACATCTAGAGAAGCCAGAGGAGAAATGAAACAACATCGTTTCGTTTCACTCCCTTGTGTTTTAAAAAAATTAGTTCCATGAGAAACTACATCATTTCAACATTAAATCTCAAGAAAAAATGAACTGTTTCACCCCTTCGAACAACTCATGTATCGTCTCATACAGTGCAAATACGATACACTTAAGTGATACATATTTTTTTCCTCATTTTACCGCAACATATCGTACAATACTAATAAGCATGGTGATTTTTTTATATCTATTATTGTAAAATGGTATCAGGCTATAAAATGTTACCAAAGTGGTTGTATTAATTTACTAAAATCAATGTCATTTAAAGGGCACTGTGGCAACTAGGCCTTCTATGGCCAAGGCACAAGGGAAGAGGCACACTTTATCAAAGCACAACGCATGTTTGTAGGTTGTAATTTATATGCAAAAATTAAAAATTGCACCACCAGGAGCCAGCACAAAATGCCCTAAATTTCATAAAAATTCAAGCAAATACATATCTTTTTTAAAACTAACAGCTACTTCTACAGTATTACATTTCAATTAAACCAAAAAAAGAGGCTTAATTTTAAAAAAACATAGATTGATGTTCGTAAATTAGTAGTTATTTCCACAAAAACAAAAGGAGATAAAAAATGGGGCGGATGTATATCAAATATAATAATTAAGGTCAATAAATCAATAGACCACATCAAATCTTGATGGGAAAAAGAGACCACATTTCATGGGTTTTAGACTTGAGCGCCAGGCACGTGCTTCATGCGAATTTGGCGAAGTCACCTATAGGCAGATATGTTGTTCACAACACTGGCAAAAATTCAATGCAGCATGAGCCAATCCAAAACTAAATTAGTCTGGCTGACATCTTAAACTTATGGTTGCTTGGCAAGCCATCAGAGAACTAGCAAAGCGAAGAAGTAAAAGGGAGGTGCAAAATTTGAGTAAATAACATGCTCTTTTTTATCTTAGATGTGGCAATGCACTGTAGTTACTTTACATAGTAACGGCCACCCATTAGGACTCAAGAGTCTTAGATGGTTACTATTAGTTCTACACTTGGATACATGGTTGTTAAGCTACTGAACAGAATAGTCCTCCACCAGAAAGCACAAATCATTGGAGTTGTTGCCTCTAATCAAAATTTGCTATATCATCACCAAAGAATCTAAACTAAAGCGATTTTTACTTTTTTTCCCATGTTCAATAATTAGACCATATGCTTCCAAAGAAAGTGAAAAAAATTTACTTTATTAGCGTGTTTAATCGCTAAGAAGCCATGCCCATCAACATACCAGCTCTGAGTACCCTTAGTCTTTCCTTCCATGAATTTACAAAGTGCAAATATAGCATGCTTCTATTGCTTTGGCTCTTGAATTATTTTTTTTTTTTTCTTCTCGAAAAAAAATGCAGCTCATGCTGTGTGTCACCTACTCTTAATAAGGATTAAAGTGACTAAGATTATAGTGAGATGGGAAAGTCCCATCGAGATTGCATTTCCCAGCAATTGGATTGATGCAATAATACAAATGTACTATTACCATGTTTCAGACTGTGTTACAAACCACAAGTTGCATGTCCCTCCCAAAGTAATAAAAAAAAAAAAAAAAATATGATAAAAGGAGGACTACCTAATTAAATACAGCTTGAGGTCATTATATTTGCCCTATTTCCCTTTTTCTTTTGGTGGATGGGGGCAAAGGAGGCAGGGGGGTTAAGGAAAATTCAATAAATCAAAGGAGAAATACACATTAGAAATGGCACATCTCAAAAATGGTATCTCTAATCATCTTCGACTTAATGATACCACTATCTCTATGACCTTGAACTGCATGACCATAGTGACCAACACAACATCTATCATATTGCCCCCTAAATGTGAGAAATTATTATGTTAATGAATTCACAAAAAAGGGACATCGCATCAAACATTAACATCTATAATCTCCAAAAGGGAAAAAGAACCCACTCTTATAGCTCCCCACACAGGATGACAGAGATCTTTTCAATCAAGAAATGGTTGAATTACACCAAGATGCTATTATATGGTCCTCAATGCCTAAAATTTAACATTTATCTTAATGCATCAGCTCCTATTCTTGTCTGTGATGCCATTACAAATTACAAAGCACAAATCGAACTCAAGTTCATATACAGTCAATGGTACTATTAGCAAAACAAAAAAAAAATGAAATTACGGATGAAAAAATATATTATGACTTCGTCGGTTAAACACTAGATATTATTAGAATGAAATCTCTTTCTCTCAATTACTGAAGAATGTCAATTTATTACCCATATCCAAAAACCATGTCCAAGCACTATATACAAACGAATACTGCCAACACGGTCCTACCACTCATATTCTCACAAACTAACTCTCAAGCAACATAATAACTCATTTTTCCTTGGCAAAAATATAAAATGTGACCATCCTTCAAAATAGCTATTAAAATCAGCTTTAGCCCTAAAACTAGACGTTAATTGCAACAGTTTCAAAACTTATGAACAACATCGAATCTTCTCCAAATCCCCCAACTCCCCTTATCTCCAAAGCATCCTCATCCGAGAACCAATAATTTAAAGCAAAACACAACCATCACTAGAAATGGTTCATTAACTACTTCATCAAACAAAAAATTACTTGAGAATTCAAATAATTGACCACATAATTGCAAATAATATATATTCATCTCATGTACACATCCACAGCTCAGAATTCGAAATAGAGCAAAACAAAATGAAAACCGATCTCAATTATTTCTAAAGTGATCCATAACTATAGATCGAAGGACGTGAAACTTGGCATACCAAGATGGAAAAGATGGCCGCATTGAAGCTTAGCCCAAGATCTATTCCCATTGTCGGTCACAACATCCAGGCAAATCGAGCATGACACGGACGATGCCGCTTTTCCTCCACCTCCATCACCATCGTCCAGAAGATCCGCACCGTCCAACCCCATATTCGGAACCCTAACCAATAAACTTAATAACTCATAAAATATCACCTATACATAACTATAAAAAACTTCATTTTCAAAAGGCTTATTAGGGATTGAATTAACTGGGAATTCAGAGTCGATGCTCCCGATCCTTAGGCTTAAATTAGGGAAATAGAGAGATCTTGGAATATCGTGGGGGAATGTCAGAGAAGAGAAAGAGAAAGAAAGGAGAATTCTCGACGTGGATCATGGGTCGTTGGGCAGGGGCAGTTCCTTTTTGTCTCCTCTCCTTTGGTCCGGCTTTAAGAGCTTCGCAATAAGGACAAATTGTGAAACCGCCCCCCCCCCCCCCCCCCCCCCTTTTTTCTTTTTCACAATACCCATTTACAGTTTTAAACCTGGACAGAACCACCTAAAGTTTTATATCAAATTTTATTTTATTTTTTTGGTCAGGAGTTTTACATCAATATAAAAACATCAATTTCCACCATCCAATTTGACTGAGATTGTCGTCCACGCACCAGCAATTGAAACTTGGAAGTGATTCACTCCAAAAGTAAATAATTTAGGTTACGTTTGATAATTTTTTATTTTTTATGTAGTAAAAATTAAAAATATATTTGATAGTCATTTATGTTTATGAAGTTATGAAAAAAAAACAAAAACAAAAAATATATTTGATAACCACGTAAGAACATGTCCAACAATGACTCAAATTTAAATTAACATTTGTGTAAAAAATTTGATTTGATACATAAAGTATAAATAAATAAATATAAATTTAAAAAAGGAGAAACTCAAATTTAAATTAGAACAAACTCATATTTAAAAGAAAGTAAAAATGATTATTGGATCTTTAAAAGATGGTGAAATCTCACCATTAAAGATTTTGTATAAGGATTTAAGCCTCTCTTAATTTAAATAAAAAAGTGAGTCTCCTTTGATTTGCTATAAGTTTGAGTCAAAATTTGGAACAAGTTTTTAAATTTTTTTACTCAAATTTAAATTTAATTTGAGTTAGGGTTGGAGAAGTTCTAAGTTATTTACATCTTTCCCAGATCAAACAACCAAAATTCCCCACCTTTCCAAACTCATTTCCAACTGGGTCCTCAACTTTAATTTCCTTACAAACCTTATCTTTACCAACTTCAATCCCATTCCAGCCATTTGTAAACTGGAATCGTCATGGTCTGGACTCAAGCAGCCCAAATTTCCCAAATTTTCAAACCCGTGTACAATTGAATCTTCTACTTTAATTTGATGGTACCACAAAAATATTCAAGGTTGAGCTCGGTAACTCAGGTCATGCCACTCAAATCGAGAGCTTAGCTTATTTATATTATTTGCAGACCTCAACTCCTTGTGTCCACATCTCGAGGAAGGTTGGGCGAAGGACAACTGGATCCCACCAAGTACCCCATTTGTAACAATAGTTACTCAGCAGGGGCAAGTTTCGTAACCGCCCCAACATCCATTACAGTCGTTGCGCAATAAATGCGACCATTACAAGGGAGGGGTGAGGATCTAGCCTCAGATCAAGCTAGACCCAGGGATAAGGGGCAAAGCCCTTGAAAATAACAAGAAGGCAATGTAGCCTCACCAAAAAAAAATTTTGTAAACTTTCCAGTAATTAATACATTTAGGAGCAAGAGACTCTCTTAACAATGGATTAGTCAAGCTTCCAAGTTGATGAATCATTATAAACACTCTGTGTGATCATCCACTTATTTCTAAATCCTATTCCCTAGAGCCTTGGAGCTCAGACTGAACTAAATCTAATTGCTCAGTGCACCTTATATTCACATCATTGTTCAATCGTATCAAGAACATCATCAGTTTGTGTCGTTTGTGGGAACGATTGTTCTTGTTAAAAATATACTAATTTTCTTCAGTAATTGATGATTTCTATGCACAATATGAGCAAAAGTCAAATGAATCCTCTTCGATTACAGAACCAACAAGAAGCTACCACTGGAAGATAGCAAGAAAATTCTCGTGATTTCTTGCCTACACATGATGTCAATCCCCCCATGGTGGATCACATACCTAACAACAAACTGGAGGCCCTTCGCCTAGCCAATTGGCGTCTCTTCTAGCAGAATGAGGAATTACTCAACCTCCTCCAGCATCCCCAAAGGGCACAGCTAGCCCAAGATGATCCCCCGAGTGAACAGCAACACAATAACCCTCTGAGAGACTTCATCAAAGGAAATGAGCGTAGTCAGACAATGGGCAATGCCCATCGTCGAATTCATAGGAATGAAGACAACGAGGAGGTGCAAAGCTAGAACAGAGAAACTCATAAGAATGAATTTCTCCCATTTTAGCAAGAAATGAAAGAATAATATTAGGAGCAGTGCTTCAGAGACATCCAACAGGAGCTCAGCCACATGAAGGAGGTTGTAAAAGGCAAAACTCTAATGACCATGAATATCTTAATTTAGTAGACTAAGTCTCCATTTACCAGGTAGGTGCTACACTTTCCACTTCCACCTAAATTTAGGATGCCCTAGATGGAGGCCTTTGATGGGACAAAAGATCTCACAGATCACTTCAACACCTACAAAAATCAAATGGAGCTATATGGGTACCAAGACCCAGTACGATGTCGAGCATTTGCCATCACTCTAAAGGGTTTAGCTTTAGCATGGTTCAATAAATTGACCTGACATCCATCTCATCTTTCAGAGAGCTCTTTTGTCTCCTTTGTTTTGTACTTCATAGGAACTCGGACTTATCGAAGGCCGATCTACCACCTGTTGAATGTGAAACAGGGACCTAATGAGAACCAGCGGAACTATGTTTAGAGGTTCAAGTCAGAATGCCTAAAAGTAGACATCCTAGACTAGAAATTTGCCATCCACTGCCTTTATTGCTGGGTTGGGAGTCCAATCAAAGGACCTGATGTTCTCCATCTCCAAAAACTCACAAACTAGTATGGTAGAAATCCTTGCTAAGGCAGAAAAATACATCAATAGTGAGAAAGCGCTCCTTTCCAAGGTAGAGAGCTCATCCACACACAAAGAGAAAGATAAGAAGAGGGACCGAAGTCCTAGAAATGAGAGAAGTCAAGACAAATCTCCATAGAGAGACAGGAACCACTCTCCGAAAAAGAGAGGAGACATTAGAGACCACCTAAGTCCACCTCCATAGGAGTTGCAGCCAAGGTTTGCACCTCAACAGTTCACTCCTCTCACTGCGACGGTGTCCCAAGTCCTCTACAAGGTGCAAAACAAGAAATTCCTAAGGTGCCCACCTCGAATGAAGGTGGATCCCATAAAATGGATGTGACAAAATACTATAAATATCACAAAGACAATGGGCACCTGACAGATGATTGTATCCAGCTGAAGAAGAAAATCAAGTTCTTAATCCAAAGGGGGCAACTACGCCACTTTGTAGTGCAAGACAATCAGAACCGAGCTCATCCACCTCCACCACCTTAGCAGTAGGTTCCAGTACAGCACCAACAGCCGTTGGGAGAAATTCGGGTAATATCAAGAGAATTTGCTAGAGAAGGGGAATCCAACTCAGCCAGGAAAAACCCATATGTGCAAAGTCCAAGCCAAAGACGTACTAGAGGTACAAGCTATGTCCCAAGCACCTCAGTTGAATATGGACATAACCTTCTTAGATGCAGATCTAGAAGGCTGTCAGCATCCCCACGATGATTCTTTAGTGGTAAGGGAAATCATCACCAATAATACGGTCCTCCGAGTTCTAATCGACAATAGGAGCTTTGCTGATATTATCTTCACATCTGCCTTCGATAAGATGGATATAGGCAGAGACAAGCTCGAACCAGTAAGGACACACTTCCTGTAATTCTCAAGAGATAGGGTGCTTCCCCTAGGCTTTATCTAGATTGTCCTCACCATAGGAGACCAAACTGGCCAATCCACCACCACAGTAAGATTCTTGGTGGTTGACGCCCCTTCAGCATACAACATTTTGCTAGGGAGACCTTCCCTTAACGTCATGAGGGCCATACCTTCTGCCTACCACCTTGTAATGAAATTTCTCGTCGAGAATGACATTAGGGTGGTTTGAGGAGACTAGCGAGTGACACGAGAGTGCTACATGGAGTCCATGAAAAAGAAAGAGGTCGAGGCCATATAGCTAGATGAGTTTGACATGAGGGATGAATTGGAGACAAGGCTTATGCCTTTAGAAGAGCTGGAACCTGTCCAACTCGATGAAGAACTAGAACATTTGGTGTACGTGGGTACAAAACTACTCAAAGAGGTCAAGAACCTACTTATTCAATTTCTTAATAAGAACTTGGAGGTATTTGCATGGAAGCAGGAGGATATGCAGGGAATTAATCCTTCAGTCATCACCCATAAGCTTAGTGTAGATCCAACCTTCAAGCTCATCAAATAAAAGTGAAGAAGTTTTGCCCCATAACGCTAGAAAGCAATAAATGAGGAGGTCTTTAAGGTCCTCCATGCCAAGGCCATCAGGAGGTAGATTATCCGACCTGACTGGTCAATATGGTCCTTGTAAAGAAGGCTAACGACAAGTGGCGACTCTATATAGATTTCACCAACCTAAATCGCGCTTACCCCAAAGACAACTTCCCACTTCCCAAAATTGATTTGATTATGGATGCCACAGTAGAGGCATGAGCTCCTGAGCTGTATAACCAAATTAGGATGGATCCCAACGACCAAGAAAAGACATCCTTCGTGACTGAGTAAGGGAATTATTACTACCTGGTCATGCCATTTGGGCTAAAGAATGTTGGAGTCATTTACCAGCGTCTGGTGAATCAAATGTTCTAGAAACAGATCGAGAATAGGATGGAGGTATACATTGACGACATGCTGGTGAAATCGGTGAAGGTTGATCTTCATATTAAAAACCTCGAAGAAACTTTTCAAATCCTCAAGAAGTACCAAATAAAGCTCAACCTAGCCAAATGTGTGATGTCCTTAAAATCGAGGGTTCTTTGTCAACTTGTTAATCACCCATCAACCTGCGAAAATACTTGTGAATGCCACATAATTCGACATCATGGCACAACATCTCCTTTACTGAGATTACAAAAACACAAATTTTGGGCAGAGTCTCCCTTGTACTAGGCACTCCCAAACGCACAACCTGTGTACACTTCGATCACATGACCCATTTCGAGGTCCAATATACAATAATTTATCCTTATTTAATGTCCATTTATATCATTTGAACAAAAGAACCCAAGACCAATAGCTCTAGCAAAACATTTCAAAATTTGAGATTTTAACAAAACCTACCAGTAGAAGATGTGCAAGATCTACCGATAGAAAAGACTACTAGAAAAGTTCTACCGGTA